TATGACTCTTTTGTTTTGTTTAAACTATTTGACTTTTCCTACCATTTTGGAAATTCATGCTGCAGATGGTGATGCTGCTATTGGCATTTGAGTTATGAATGCAACCTACCAATATAATTCTACATTTGGACTTCATCTCCACCATGGGTCCATGTATTAGTGGGTGAATCTGACTATTACATGACATAATACAGTTGTATCAGAATATTTACCTATTGATATTATACACTATTTTATGCACTTTCGTTTTTATGTCATGTAGTACCTTATACTGACTTTGTTGAAATTATACATATATATAGGAGCTCTGGTAGCATAGTGGCTAAAGCACTTGACTGCTAACCAGAAGGCTGGTGGTTCAAACCCACCAGCCACTCCTCGGAAGGAAGGTTGGGCAATCCTACTTCTGTAATGATACTGCCTCGGAAACCCAAAGGGGGGTCGCTATGAGTCGGGGCCGACTCAACTGCAAATAACAACAACAACAACATATAAAATATATATATATATATATATATATATATACACACACACACACACACACACAGGTAGGTTTTATTGTAGATGATGTAACTTCAGGGAGTAAATGAAGCATTATAAGCTATTGATCATTAAAAGGGACACTGTTTGATCAGGTTGCGGAAAAGTTAGAAATGTTAGGAAGGGGCCATATTTCCAGTAGAGGAACATGAGAGTCACAATCCTAACCCCTCCTTGCCACCTCACTCACTGTTATGTACAAACCAAACCAAATTCACTGCCATCGAGTCAATTTCCACTCATAGTGACCCCCTTTGGGTTTCTGAGGGGGTAAATCTTTACGGAAGTAGATTGCCCAGTCTTCCTTCTGTGGAGTGGCTAGTGGGTTTGAACTGCCAAACTTCTGGTTTGCAATCAAATGTCTTAGGCACTACGCCACCAGAGCCCCATACAGGAGGAGTAAAATGGCTGATTGGGGAACTAGTATTAGGAAAGTGATCATCCATTACGTAGCTCACAGCTCCTCCTTGCCTCCTTCTTTTTGGTAGCCAGCTTCTCACTCTGGTAGCGTAGTGCCTAAGGCACTTGACTGCTAACCAGAAGGTTGGTGATTCAAACCCACCAGCCACTCCTCAGAAGGAAGGTTGGGCAATCAATCTACTTCCGTAGTGATACTGCCTCAGAAACCCAAGGAGGGGTCACTATGAGTCAGGTCCAACTTGATGGCACACAATAACAACAACAGCCTCTCACAAGCAAGCTATTGTGATGCTCCTTAAAGTTTTGTGGAGGAAAATTTTTCCTGTATAGATTAGCAAATCACACACATAGAAATGGATCTTCAGAGTAAATCCATTTGCAAATGGTAGTAAGTGTCCATTCATTTTTTCATTTTTTCAAAACCTAGCTCAGCCATCCCTTCTAGGAAGTCCTTCCTGAACCCCAAATAGAGTCAATCATGTTCTCTTCTGCTCTATTATTCTATTTATCAGTCTTGTCATGCTGCATAATAATTCACATGCTTACATGTCAGTCTCCTGCGCTTTACTGACAAGTCCTTGCGGGATCTTTAACTGCCCAGTGCCAGGTACAATGCCTAGCACATAATAATGTGAAATAACTCATTATGGGATGATGTCAGTGGCATTAATTTCAACAGCAATTGCTCTGTGAAATATACAATCCACCAAATTCTATCATTACTTTAACAACTGTCCAAGTCAACCCTTTCAACAACAACAGTAATATAATTATGAATGATTAATGGAATTGGTATGTTTTAACTTGTAAAATTTAATTAAATAAAATTAGCTTTCCTGAAAATGATTTGATTACATTATCTAAGAAACAATCTGAAAGGAATCAAGTGTCCTGTTTATCAACAGGGATCACTTTAATAAAAATTGCTCCAAGATTCATGTTCCAAGGACTTTCTTGGATATGACAATTTAGTAGAAGTTGGAAAAGTTACCACTTGAGGAGCATTATTTTCCCAAAGGGAAAACATGAGTGTATCTGAACAGATTTTCTTTGATAAAAAGACATTTTATTCTGAAGCTGGATAGCAACTCCTTGTTTTTGATATTGTTATTTCTCCTGAATGCCTTGAGGAAATTCAGAAAATTACTGGTTATTTTAATGACATTATGAAATCACACTTATAGAAATGAATCTTGAGAGTAAATACAATCAACTCTCATCCTACCAGACCCATACCCAGAACATCTTACATGAATTCAAACTTATAACAATTTACATACAAGTTTTTTAATTTTAATAAAAAGAAATTCTATAGCTTTCATGCCCATTTAGATTTGCTCTAAAGAAAGGGAAGGAAATTTGTTTACAAATTATGTGTCAGGTACAGTGTTAAACATTCTAGTATTCACTATCTTTTTCCTCAAAACATCCTCACAAAGTAGGTACTATTACATGCTTTAAAAACAAATGTAATAAAGTGAGAAAGACTCAAGGAGATTAGGAAATTTATCTGGTGGCAAAATTGGAGTTGAATTCCCAAACTTCCTGTCTCTGAAGCGTATTACTTTCCTCTGAAACCAGGGTAGCTCTTGAATAGTCTTGAATATCAGTATTAGTGCTGTTCTGGCCATTTTGGTTTCATTTTAGAAAAGAATTCAACCTGAATTGATATGCTTCATTATCTCTAGTATTTCATGCTCTCCCTCTAATTTGGCTTTTTTCCCCAATATAAAATGGTTGCCAGCCAATATAATGAGGTTTTCTTCATCTTATCCTTTCTTGGCCTCTAATTTACAGTTTAAATATATAGACCACCCATCCTTTGTAAGAGAATCTACTCCCTGACTTCAGTAGTACACTATTCTTGGTTTCTCTCCCCCTCCCCTTTTTTTCTCTTTTCATGACTTGTCTCTGTTTCTTTTTCTGACTCCTTTGTGCTCTCCAACTACTTCACTTCAGATCTTTCCTGGAGCTGACTAAAGGCAAGGTTATTTAGTCAACGATGTATCTATCCCTCAGAGAATGCCTTGTTCCTCCTGGTTTAAGTAATGCTCTTTGCTGGCTTTTCTTTCTATGATGCTTTCTTCTCCATTCCATTTTCTACCCATTGACAATCCCATTTGGCTGCCTTACTATCACCAAAACTGAACCAAAACCTTACACAACCAGAGCTCCTAATACTACTGTCATTGTTTTGGTCTCCTGGGTGTGGCCCATTTCACGGCATATAATGAAATGTGCAAATAAGTATTCCAATGATGGCTTGTCCTTCCTTTTTATATGAAACCAAATATGAACAATTTTTTAACTTAAAAGTTTATCTTCCACTGGTTTTGTCTTCACCATCACGACCACCATTTCTTGTTGGGTCCTTCTTACTTAACAAGAAGCTCTCACTGGAATCCTAACTCCAGATGCTCCTCCCTTTAATGCTCCATGAATGCTGATTTCAGATTGTTGTTGTCAGATGCTGTTGAGTTGGCTCTGACTCATAGCAACCCTATTACAACAAAACAAAACATTGCCTGTCCTGTGCCAGCTTCACAATCTTTGCTATACCTGAGGCCATCGTTGCAGCCACTGTGTCAATCCATCTCATTGAAGGCTTTCCCCTTTTTCTCTGGCCTTCCACTTTACCAAGCATTACATTACAAGCTCCAGGAAACGGTCCCTTCTGACAACATGACCAAAGTAGGTGAGATGAAGCCTGGCCGTTCTCGTTTCCAAGGAGCATTCTGGCTGCACTTTTTCGAGGACAGATTTGTTTGCTTTTCTGGAAGTCCATGATATTTTCAGTATTCTTCACCAGCACCACAATTCAAAGGCATCCACTCTTCCTTGGTCTTCTATTCGTTGTCCAGCTTTCACTCCATATGAGGTGACTGAAAACACTACGGCTTGGGTTAGGCACACCTTGGACTTCAAAGTGACTAAGGCTTAATGATTCCAGATCAATCTTCTTTAAATAGTACTTTAATTATATCATCATTGGAAAATATTCAACCTCTCCTAAGCTTTAACTGTTAAAATCTAATTCATTATCTTAACTTTCAAGATCCTTTTTAATCTGGGTATTGCTCTATTTAGATCATCTTACCTCTTGCTACCTTTAGTATTCTGATCCAATAAAGCCAGCCTCTTCACTTTTTCAAGAACATTCACATTCCAGCTTGTGTGTCTTCTTCTCTTTTTATTTATGTTTACCTTGAGTAGAATGTCTCCTCTCTTAAATAAGCTCTCCTTAAATTTATGAAGTCTTTTTTGATCACACCAGATTATCATTAACTTTCCTCTTTTAAACTTCCACATTGCTGCAAGCCTATATCTAGTGCATTAGTTAGTACTTAAATATTTGCTATTCTGAAGGGTTTATTGTTGATCTGTAGGTATCATTCCTTAAATTCCAACCAGATTTAACCTCCACATGAACAGAGATCTTGCCAAATTTGCTATTTTCCTCCAAGAGTGTAGTAACAGGTCAGTGAATAAGTATGATTGATGTTACTTAACACTTGAAACCTGAAATCATATTGCCTGATAAATAAAATAATTTAATATAAAAAGTCATTTAAAAACTCAAATAGAGAACCTTTTCGATTCACTGCCAGTGAGATTTCTGAAGTAAGGTATTTTTCATATTTAAAGATAACATGAGAAGTAAATATATAAACTTAAGAAACAGATGAATTAATAGGTGGTTATTTTCATTACAAATACTGTCATTTATTTTAGGATTTTCCAAAGTTAACTCTCACAAACTCCTCTTCTCATAGACAATCTCTTGACAAGGCACTGATTGATGAACAGGGATACTTAAAGCTAATGTCAAGAGGCACACAAAATTTTGGAGTCATCTATATTAAAGATTAATTTGACAGGAAGATAAAACATCTGTGATATTATACATTGCATCATTGAAAAATAGGACATTTTAAAAACAAGCAGTACTCACAATTTTCAGGACTTCTTGTATAGACTAGAATACACTATAATTAAAGTCTGTGACTAGTAGAACTTGCTACAAAATCTAATAGCCTTACCTTTACATAATCATAAGCACATCTCTGCAAAGTAGTTGCTGCTTCCAGAGTAAATGTATTGAAGGTGAGTTTAATTAATTTGTTTACAGGTGCACTTATGAACCATACACAGTTTAAATTCTTGTCATATCTTCCATTTGAGTCAGAATCAGGAGAGGCAAAGGTATAATTTGAACCTGTCAGATAACCTCCACATCCTTGCTTAGGCCCTGTGTTAAAACAAAAACACATCACTAGACAGACCGAACAGAATATACCTTACATTTCACGTGTAGGGTTTTAAAAACATATATACTTTATATTTCTGTTCCTTTTGTGGAAACTAACAGCCCCATCACTGTACCTCAGTGTGCTTATGCATGTCTTGTTGCCACCTGCTTTGGCTTCTTCATTACTTGTTTCCTCTCTACTCCTTTCTCCAACCCTTCAGTTACCTCGATCTCATTCACACAGGTACTTAAAAAATGGGTAACCTGACTTATTTCTCTATGCATTTTTAGAAATACTGATGCAATTTATTGAAGCTTTTTCAATGCTTGAAATATCCAATTTTATACAAAATAAAGTGTTTTCTGGAACAAAACAGGTGAAAAGTGTGAACATGTCTGACTTCTATTGAAAACTGAACTTATAAAGAATTTACCCAACATCCCAAGAAAACTGGCTCCTTAACAAATCTTTTATTTAAGTAGTCTGACAGAAAGAGCCTGAAAGGCATTTAGCATTGCAGACCAGTTCGTACCAAGCCACACTCTTTGAGTTTTTCTTTTCTAAAAAAGAAAAGGAAACTGTGGAAGAATTTTGTCAGAGGAAATAGTCTACTAAATTTGAAATAAAAACTCTGAAATTCACAATAAAATTGCAAAAGAGAGATAGATGGAGAATATCCTCAAGATGATTAAATGCTGGATTATGAATAAAAAATGGAACAAATCTGCTCAGAGCACAGGATTTAGTTTTGTCTAGTCCACAACCTAAGCAGATATCTCAGAACTGATGTAAGAAGAACATAAAAAAAGACAAACCCAAAATAGTTCCACTGGGATTGGGGTTCAAACAGGCACACAAAGCAACATTCATAGAGAGTATCTATGAAGTTCTATACAAATAAAGGCCATTAGTAGTTGCAAAGTTAAATTTCACAGGCATTGGTCTTCCACCTACTTATCTTACTTCATCTATTTATTATAACGGTGAAAGGATTGCTCTCAACATTAGGGGGCGCTAAGACTTTGTATTTGGATCTTGGCAGGAAATGGAAACCGGCAGCCCTCCTCAGCTCTGACTGCAGAGCCAAAGCATATTAATGTGCCGAGTGGTTTCAGTGTAGGTGCATTAGTTAGTAGGCTGGCTTGTTCGTAGCTTCTAAGTCAGGTAAAACTACGGAGCATTTGCACAGCCAGGCATTTCATGGAGTTGAAATGCTTCCAAGAGCCTAGTTCCTGATATATCCATAGATATTATCTAGGACAAATTCCTTATCCTGAACTCTAAGCACTATACAGTGCTGTACCACATATTCCTAATGAGTCTGCTCATATGAAACTAAAACTGAAAATTAAAGAGTTTGAGTTTGCATTGCTTTTATTCCAGTGTGAACTGATTGTTACTTCAGGCAACCACTTAAGCTTATTGAAATCCACAGCTGAAAAGAACAATTACTTAGGGTATTAATGAGCTGAAAAATGTGTTTACTCAATATTTTTTCTAATATTCAAGGAACTATCTTTAGTGTTGAAATGGGAGATTAATCAGGCAGTCCATTAGCAGTGACAAGACATAGATAAATAATGAGGATGACACAGTAAGTGCCAAAACATATACAGGAAATGGCTTGTGAAATTCACAAGGAGGGGAAATTACTCCAGTTTATGAAGATCTACAAACAAGATTAATTTGGGTAGCAATTCCAGAATGAAAGAGTCTTGTGACCAAAGATAAATGGACACGAATCTACATTATTTGAGTGGGAAAGTGCAATGCCATTTGAGGAAACAACATGGCCCTCAAAGAAAAATAATGGGAATTCAGACTAAGAAAATAAGGTGAGGTCATTCTAACAAGGTCTCAAATGCCAGATTATAGAATTTGGCCTTTAGCCTTGTTCTGTGGATAATGGAAATCAGTTGGAAGCCTTCCTCTCCGGGAGTGGTAGGATCATAGGTACTTTCTTATTAAATCTTATCTAAAAATGAAACTGTGAGTAGTATTTTACATGTAAGCAAATAGGGCTGGAGGAGATAAGAGTGGTTCAGAGGGGATACATCTTCTTGGTTAGTGGTAGCAAGGGACAATGAATAGTTGAATATTTGTATACAGGGAAGGGAGGGTAAACCACTGTGGTGGTTATGTTTGTGTCAACTTGGCTGGGCCTGGTTGAGTAGCTGGGCAGTGGGATGTAGTATTCCCCATGATGAGACTAGTAACCAACTCCATGGTGGAATCTACTATGAGCAGCTGAGTAGCTGCCTTTGGGATGTGGTCTGCTTCCTGTATAGAAGGAGAAGCTTTGAGAATGGTCTCTAACCTATGGCACACTTGGACCCTGCGTGTAGCCGTGTCGTTGCTCAGCAGCCTGCTATGCTCTGCCAACCTTGGGACATACAATGGACTTAAGTTAATGGCCTGCCATGTGGTTTGGTAACATCAGGACTGTGCCTTTTTCCTTGTCAACCTTGGGCTTGTCAGCCTCAGCAGCCAGCAACTGAGTGAAGAAATGCCTCTTGCTCCAGTGGGCCAGAAGCTGGACCCCAAGGTTGAGGGGCTTTCATCCAGCCCCTAGAGCCTGGCACTTGAACTTGGACTTTTAGCCTCCAAATTATAAGAATAAACTCCTTTTTGTTAAGGCCATCCCATTTGTGGTATATTCCTGTCAGAGCAGCACTAGGTAACCAGAACAACCACTAACTACAGGTTGTTGTTGTAACTACAGGTAGATACGTATTAACTTGGGAAAGGGAAATGTGTAACAAAAGTGTGAATAAAAACTCTCCTTTTTGCCTCTCTGAAGAAAAAGTAATTTTGTATACAGGAAAATGATGTTGCTAAACATTATTCTATTAATATATCAACTTCAAAAATGAAATGTTATTTTTAAAAATTCAAGCTACATAGTCTATCACTACTTATTGATTAATGGTTACTAATAAATAAATAAGGGCAGAATGAAAATTATACTCAGGCACAGTGAGAACCATAAGACACACTTAAAAAATAATAATAGTGATGATGATGATGACATAATGATGTCCTAAGGTAGATACATCCACTCTCCAGGGAACCCCAGACTGAGACTCCTTAAATCTTTGGCCTGGGTTGCCCTAGATTGAGTGGTAGATTGAATTATTCTTTACTCTTCCTTCCTTCTCTTTGCAGCACACTAGAACCAGCTGAGTATATTTTTCTATCCCTTTCATGTTATGCTTGTTCATATGACATGTTTTGGAAAATGGAGCATTAGTAGTCATGAAGTAGATAGAAATGTTAAATGTGCTTGTGTGGTTTGCCTTGTCCACTTGTGCTCCTGGGCTCCAGGGAGAGATCATGCCCCCAGATAAAGGCTAGTCCACAGAGAAAGGGGATTCATGCGAAGCAGACCTGGACCCAGACAACCTGCAGGCTGAAACGGAGGAAGGCCAGACAGTCTGCAGATCATAAGTGATACGAATAAATGCTTTAGTGATAAGCCACTGAATTTCAGATGGTTTGTTACATGGCATTATTGTGGAAATAGAACACTAATATACATATATAGTTTGTTTGACATATAAAGCTGTAATAGAGCATATTGCTTAATTCATAAAACATATACAATTGGCTCTCTGTACCTACAGATTCTGTATCCACGAATTCAACCAACTATGGATCAAAAAAAAAAAAAAAAAAAAGACGAGGTGAAAGCAATCTCTCAAAGGCTAGGAAGGAGTGTAAAGTGCTATTTACATAGTATTTATATTATATTAGGTATTATACGTAATCTGGATATGATTTAAAGTACAGGGGAGGTTGTGTGTAGGTTATATGCAAATATTATGTCATTTTATATAAGGAACTTGAGTATCTGTAGATTTGTGTATCTGCAGATTTGGGTATCCACAGGGTTACTGGGGTGGAGTGTCCTGGAACCAATCTCTCACAAATTCTGAGGGATGACTATACACAGAATAAAGAAAATGTGATGCTAATGTTATTATCAGATAATCCTGGCTAAAATATTCAAATAATTGAAATAAATATATGAGTCACTGGGTGTTTGTATAATACAAGAAATGGTATGGATGTAATTGTTCTAATTCTTCATTTTAGTGTTGAAACATAGTATAGCTGCTCAGTGCTTCTGCTCCTCCTACAGCAAAATAGAAATATAAACATATATGTCACTGGGAAAATGTAAAGATGAATGTTAAAAGAAGGTTTTTTGCCAAAAACAAAAGGGCTATTGTCACATTACTATTCTATATTTCACTAGTAGCAGATATAACAGGAGAAACAAAGAATAACTCTGTGATTATAAAATAAATAAATTTCATATGTAAGAAAATAATATATGTTTACTATATTAATGTTTTAATGATTTTTTTGCTGGTATAAGACATGTTCACCTTGGCATGTTATTGAACATTATAAATCCATCATCTTCCTGGTTACTACACATTTTTCTACCATCCAGACACCGCCCATCCATCAGCACTTACTTCACCAGTCAGATATTGTCAGAAGCTTTATCTTTACAGTCACTCTTTAATGACATTCCCTGTGCCCCAGAACAGATGTCACTCTAACCTTCTTCTCCAAATTGGAAAAAGTGCATACAAAAGAGCTATTTCTTCAAAAGAAAAAAAAAAATAGGTTTTGGCTAAAGAAAAACTGGAAATATAAACCCACAGTAATCATTAAGTCTGGATCCAGATCTACTTAATTAAAAATCAGTAACTGAATCCTAAATTTTTCCCCTGCAATTATGAAACTTTAGAGTGAAGCTCAAGTCAGGGTAAACCTGTAGCGTAAGAAATAGTTACATTATCTCAGAGAAAGCATCTTGACGTTTTTAGTGGAGTGAGATAAATTGTTTTGAGCACTGACATTTCTGTGACTGACATTCCATGTAGCTGACATTATGAAGGTCTTCTGGATAGTATCTCCATCAGTCCCTGGACAAACACTTGGACAGATGGTGGATGGCTAGCCATACTTACAGATAAAGATTGGC